GACAATGATCAGGAATTACCTCCGAGAAGCATTTTTTTAGACATTCGGGGACTTTCCCATCAATTATGAGAAGCATCCTCTCCATCTCTTCACGGGCGACATGGCTCCCAGATTCATTGGAAAACAGGCTGAAAATATCTAAGAGAGAAGACAAAACAATGTACCCAGAGCAAAATAACTATTTCTGTGCAAGTCAGACTTGGGATAGAGCTGGTGATGTCCATTATTTCACATAATTTTACAAAAAGGAATGGTTATGCTCTTAGAAGCTTTTTTTTTTTAAAAAAAAAATCCACACGTGTTCTGATCCATACCATCATCTGATATTGCCATTGCAAAGGGCATGGCATTTTATGTAAAATAAATATCACAAGCAACGTCTAGGTCAGAGGTAGGCAACCTTGGCTCTTTTATGACTCGTGGACTTCAACTCCCAGAATTCCTGAGCCAGCCATGCTGAGGAGAAAGGGAGAGGTTTCCAAGCTGAGCCATGCTGGCTCAGGAATTCTGGGATTTGAAGTCCCTGAGTCATAAAAGAGCCAAGGTTGCCTACCCCTGGTCTAGGTCAATGTTTCTCAACCTTGGCAGCTTGAAGATGGGTGGACCTCAACTCTCAGAATTCCCCAGCCAGCCATGCTGCCTGGGGAATGCTGGGAGCAGACGTTCACCCATCTTAAAGCATGCTGGCTTGAGAATTCTTGCGGTGGAAGTCCATCAATCTTCAAATGTGCTGGCTAGAGAATTCTGGGTGTTGAAGTCCACTCGTCCTCAAGCCACCACAGCTGAGAAACACTGAGGTTGATCCTCAATCTCAACAAGGAGCTTAAATTTCCTGGAAAAAATATATATGCCCCTTCAACCCTGAGGTAGCAGCACCTTAGCATTGTTGGATTAACACAAAGTAGCCCTGATGGAATTAAATGAAATGGCTCAGCCTACTGGAGGCAGTAATGCTTAAACTAGGTTGGCAAGAGCCGTATTCCTACTCAGCTATGAAGGTCCTTGAGATTAGCTGTCTCTCAAGATTGTTCTGAAAATGAAATATTGCGGCGGTTCTCAACTTTTTCTTCACCCTGGGCCCCCTTTAAACACCTTTTGTGGCCACGGACCACCAAGACTTAAGATTTAAATCGTAACATTTTTTCAAGACTTTGCGGACCCCTGTTATAACACAATGGACTCCCCAAGGGTCCATGGATCACAGGTTGAGAACCACTGAAATATTGGACATGCTACAGAAGTGACTTTTGGGAGAATTCCTTTTCCTATTGCAAGTGCTTGGCGGAAGCCAATTCGGTTTCCCCACATCTCGAAAACCTCCGATCTTCCTTAGCCCGCTGTACGAGTAGTCCTCGACTTGCAACAGTTCGTTTAGTGAGTGTTCAAAGTTGCAATGGCATTGAAAAAAAGTGACTTATGGCCGTTTTTCATTTTCTCATTTTTCCTACGGCTGTTGCAACATCTCCACGGTCACGGGATCAAAAATCTGGGCACCTGGAAGCTGGCCTGCATTTATGACAGGCTGCAGTGTCCCGGGATCATTATGATGAAAGTCCAGTTGCCTTTTGGAAAAAGCACCTTTGGGACAACCACGACCTGGATGGTTGAGGATCTCCACAAATGACTGATACTTACATTTGGCTTTCTCTTCATCTCGGCCCCTCGTCAGGAGGACTAAGCCCACTATCAGGTTATTGAAATGTAGTCCTTTCGACGTGCCACCAAAAGAACAGTATATGACCTGAAAGAAAAGATGAGAAAAATGTCAACCTGGGCGATCAGAAGAGGAACATCTATCTCTGGGTCCTTCTGCGTGACCCCTGGGGTCAAGCTGAAAAACAAAGCAAAGAGAGCTTAGAAGTCATTCCTACCAAATCTGTTGCTTACGGTTGTTTTAAAAGGGAGGAGAGCCGTGGGCTGCAAATTAAGATGACCCCATTTCAAACCTGGCCTCCCTCTGCCCTGAACTCACCAGGTGGGCTTCGTCAAAGAGTTTCCCGTTTGTAATCTGGGAAGAAAATGAGGCCAGCTTGCTTTATAAGGTGGTTACCTCATAACCTGGTAAGTGCACATAAAGCAGTGGTACTCAACCTTTTTAATGCCGCGACCCCCAACCGGTCGTAAGTCAAGGACTAAACCGGTCGTAAGTCGAGGACTAACCAACCGGTCGTAAGTCGAGGACTACCCAACCGGTCGTAAGTCGAGGATTACCCAACCGGTCGTAAGTCGAGGACTTTCCCTGCCCGGGAGCACCGCGCATGCGTGGTTCCGCCCCCTGCGCCGGCCGAGGCATAGCTGGCAAGCGGCAGAGACGGAGCAGGCCGACCACCAGCTGGCCCAGCCCAAGGGAGGTAAGGCACCTGCCGGAAAAGGGGGAAAAAATGGCGGACAAAAAAAATGGCGGACAAAAAAATGGCGGACAGCCTTGCTTGGCGACCCCCGTGAAATGGTCGATCGACCCCAAATGGGGTCCCGACCCACAGGTTGAGAACCACTGAAATAAAGCAATCTGTACGCTTGAAAGCATTAGGCAAGTCTTAATTTTTATGAGCGGCTGGCCCCAATTCTCTGGCATCTATTGCTCAGGAAGGTTGAACAACGAAAAAGCCACACACGACAGGCAGCACATAAACACCACACACAGAATAGCCCAAAGCACACACTCTGCTAGAGAGAAGTTCCCTAAGGATGGCCTCCGGCACTAGTCCGAAAGCTTGGAAGACTAGACTAGACTAGAGTAGATTAGATTTGGTCTGGATGGGGAGGAACAGACTCAGGCTCAACCCTTCCAAGACCGAGTGGCTGTGGCTGCCGGCGCCTCGGCATAGTCAGCTGATTCCATCGCTGTCTATAGGGGGCGAAATTTTGGCCCCCTCAGAGAAGGCACGCAACTTGGGTGTCCTCCTGGATCCACGGCTGACACTGGAAGATCATTTGTCGGCCGTGACC